AAGGGCTTCGGCTCAGTAAAGCGTCCTGGTGGCTGAGGGGACTGGACTCTCGTGTTGAGGCGGCTTTGAGGGCTGGGCCTGGGGCGGAGGGGGCAGCTCAGCTCAGGGGGCCCGGTGAGCACGGTGAACGGAGCTCACGACCGTGCCCAGCGTGTCGGTCTCAGAAACATGGAGGAGCGAGTGCAGGCCCCACGAAGTGCGCCCACCCGTGTCCGGCCCCGAATGACCCACGGAGCCAGCCCTGCTCCTCTCCTCCTCTGCCCAGAGGCCGGTCCCCTGCCCACTTTGCTCGCCCGAAGCCAGGCCGCGAGGAGTGGGACCCTGAACTCGTGTTGGGAGGAGCAGCTCTTGCTGGTGCACCCTGCTCACCTATCACCGAGAACGCCTTCATTTTCCCACCGCAGACCCGTCTTTCAGGGTCCTCCGCCTCCTGCTGCTCTGTGTCGACTCCGATTTCTGTGGGGCAGTTTTGCCAGTTGTCTGGTCTGATGTCAGCTGAGCCTCCTGCCACGTGAACCGCAGGGGTGAAGAGAACACACAGCTGCCTCGGACCGAAGGGATGCGCCGCCCTGCACAGGCCTGCCGGCAGGAAGGCACCGAGGGCCTGCGGGTCAGCGGGACCGAGATGGGACTCGAGTTTCAGCTGATTAACTACAGGCTCCGGGCGCGTCACTGCTTCCCTGGGGCCCTGAGGGGCGAGGGCTCTGAAACGCTGGCACCTGCCTCCCACGGTGCCTGGGCCTCCATCCGCAGTGCCCCTGTCTGTCGCGTCTGGGCTCAGCGTGTCCTCCTTCAGACCGAACGCTGAGCTCCCTTCCTGTCTGCTCCTAGGGAAACCCTCCCTGTGCCCGCAGACACGCTGCCAGGCACTGAGCAGAGGACGCCAGCTCTGCCCTCGACACCAGCGGCAGAAGTCGGGGAGTTCATCACCGGCAGGCGGGCGGGCGGGGAGATGGCGGTACGGCCCCATCCCTTTCGGGGCAGCCACACACGGTGGGTGACGATGACAGCGACCCCACGTATGTCCTCCCGAGGTTGGCTGACGGAGCCTGGGCATCCCCACGGCCTCCCGTGGGCCAGCGCGGCCCGAGGTGATGGCAGTGCTGCCCTGGAGGCCGCTGCCCTGGCCTTGCCCACCTGGGGTCCAGGCTCCACTGGGTGCGGGGAGCCAGGCTGGCTAGTGGGGCTGCGCTCCTCTCCTTCTAGCTCATTGTTTCACAACCAGTTTTACACACGTGACCTCCTTCAGTCAGACAAGCCCTGCACGTGGCAGGGCAGTGAGCACAAACGAGCTCCCTCCACAGGGGGCGAGGCTGGTGGTGCGAGGCCCGGCTGTGAGGAGTGGAGACCTACCCATAGAGCTTCACACGCAATA